TTTTTATGCAAATAATGATCAAGTTATAACTTTTTTGGAAACTGTGCAACCCTCTCCCATACAAGCTTCTTGTGCACATTATGTATGTGCTGATATTTGTGTGTGCACATTATGTGTGAAAATAAGCATGCACAATGGGATAGAGGAAAATAGGGCAAGTAATTGGAGAGGGGGGTGCTGGGGATCCCAGCAGGTGCTCCCACCCCACTCTCAGCCAAAACCAAGCCAGGAGCTGCCTGTGGAAAAAACCATCAATTGCTCACACACAAGCTCAAGTTGAAGCTAAAGACAAAACTAGTCCATGAGAGCCAAAATATGACCTTGATTGTATCCCTCCTGAATTTAGAGACCATCTGAAGAATAGATTTGATGCATTGAACACCAATGACTGAAAACCAGAGGAATTGTGGGATGACATCAAGAACATCATCCATGAAAAAAGCAAAAGGTCATTAAAAAGACAGGAAGGAAGAAAAGACCAAAATGGGTATCAGAAGACTCTAAAACTTGCCTTTGAGTGGAGAGTAGCTAAAGCAAATGGAAGAAATGACAAGATAAAAGAGCTGAACAGAAGATTTCAGAGAGCAGCTTGAGAAGACAAAGTCAATTATTACAACGAAATGTGCACAGACATGGAGTTAGAAAACCAAAAGGGAAGAACACACGTTTCTCAAGCTGAAAGAACTGAAGAAAAGATTCAAGCCTCAAGTTGCAACATCTATGGGCAAAATATTGAATGATGCAGGAAACATCAAAAGAAGATGGAAGGAATACACAGAGAGAGTCACTGTACCAAAAAGAATTGGTTGATGTTCATCCATTTCAGGAGTGGCATATGATCAAGAACCAATGGTATTGAAGGAAGAAGTCCAAGCTGCACTGAAGGAATTGGTGAAAAACAAGGCTCCAGGAATTGACCGAATACCCATTGAGATGTTTCAACAAATGGATGCTGTGCTGGAGGCACTCACTCTGCTATGCCAAGAGATTGGAAGACAATTACCTGTACCCATTCCAAAGAGAGGTGATCCCACAGAATGTGGAAATTAGCAAGCAATATCATTAATACCACATGCAAGTAAAATCTTGCTGAAGATAATTTAAAAAATGGTTGTAGCAGTATATTGACAGGGAACTTCCCAAAATGCAAGCTGGATTCAGAAGAGGATATGGAATGACGCACACCATTGCTGATGTCAGATGGATCTTGGCTGAAAATAAGGAATATCAGAAAGATGTTTACTTGTGTTTTATTGACTGTGCAAAAGCATTTGACTGTCTGGATCATAACAGATTATGGATAATATTGAGAAGAATTGGAATTCCAGAACACTTAATTGTGCTCATGAGGAAACTGTACATAGATCAGGAAGCTGTCATTCAAACAGAACAAAGGGATACTGCATAGTTTAAAATCAGGGAGTGCATCAGGGTTGTATCCTTTCACCATACTTATTCAATCTGTATGCCAGACTATGTGAAGAAGAACATGGCATCGGGGTCAGAGAAAGACTCATTAACAACCTGTGATATGCAGACGACACAACTTTGCCTGCTGAAAGTGAGGATGACTTGAAGCACTCACTGATGAAGATTAAAGACTACAGTCTGCAATATGGATTGCACTTCAACATAAAGAAAACAAAAATCCTTACAACTGGACCAATAAACAGCATCATGATAAATGGAGAAAAGATTGAAGTTGTCAAAGACTTCATATTACTTAGTTCCCCCATCAACACCAATGGAAGCAGCAGTCAAGACATCAGAAGACGTATTACACTGGGCAAATCTGCTGCAAAAGACCTCTTTTGAGTGCTAAAGAGCAAAGGTGTGTCTTTGAAGACTAAGGTGCCCCTTACCCAAGCCATGGTATTTTAAGTCATCTCATATGCATGTGAAAGCTGGACAATGAATAAGGAAGACTGAGGAAGAGTTGACGCTTTTGAATTGTGGTGTTTGCAAAGAATACTGGAAGTACTATGGACTGTCAGAAGAATGACAAATCTATCTTAGAAGAAGTACAGCCGGAATGCTCCTTGGAAGCGAGAATGGCCAGACTTCGTCTCACCTACTCTGATCATGTTGTCAGAAGGGACCATTTCCTGAGAAGGATGTCATGCTTGGTAGAGTGGAGGGTCAGCGAAAAAGGGGAAGGCCCTCAACGAGGTGGATTGACACAGTGGCTGCCACGATGGGTTCAGGTTTGGCAAGGATTGTGAGGCTGGCACAGGACCGGGCAGTGCTTCGTTCTGTTGTAGTGGGGTCACTATAAGTCGGAGCCAACTCGACAGCACCCAACAATGGGATATTACAGAGCTTTAAAGGGCAATGAAGTCCTGGTGTGCACCCAACATGGATGAACCTTGAGAACATGGTCCTGAGTGAAATAAGTCAAACACAAAAAGACAAACATGGGATGATTCCACTTACATGAAATAAGCAAATACATGGAAAGCAAAGATTATTAGTGGTGACCAGGGGTGGGGAGCAGGGGTTTTTGCTTAGGGGGCATAGGGTTTATGCTCATGGTGGTAGAAGGCTCTGGAAAATATTAGTAATAATGGCAGCATGACATGAAAAATGTAACCAACGTCATTGAATTGGAAACGTGTAAGTTGTGGTGTTGGCAAATGTCTTGATGCATATGTTTTCACCCCAATAAAAAACAAATGTGTGTGTGTGTGCTTGTAAATGCATAAGTATCACTGAATAGAAAGAGACACAAGGTCTTGGTCACATGATCGCATCTGGGTGCGGGTCCTGCTTGGGGCAACAGGGGTGGGAGAAAGACTACCTCTTCCCTGTAGACCCATGTGGGCCTTTTAGATTTTGAACTGTATGAATATAAACTCCAAAAACCAAACTCACTGCCGTCAAATTGATTCGACTCATAGTGACCCCTCCTTGGGTTTTCGAGGCAGTATCTCCAGGGAAGCAGATTGCCCAATCTTCCTTCTGAGCATGAATATAGTATCTTTAAATAAATAAAAACAATTGAAAATAACAGTTTCCTAAGAGGATTAACATCTGGTGGAACAGCAATTAAAGCATTTGGCTGCTAACCAGAAGTTCCGTGGTTCAAGCCCACCAATGGCTCTGTGAGAGAAAGATGAGGGAATCTGCTTCCGTAAATGTTTACAACCTTGGAAACCCTATGGGGCAGTTCTATAGGGTCACTGTGAGTTGGAATCAAGTGGATGGCAGGGGATCTGGTTTTCGGTTTAAGAGGACGTTGATATAAGACAGGTACAAGGCCTAGAAATGGGGGCTTAAGTCAACAAAGATTTTGCCAACCACATCC